TTTCTGAGCCGAACATCGATATTATCCTTCCAACATGCTGAAACCGAATCCATTTGTATTCATTCTGGATCCCAACGATCTCATCTAATCCAACACAACTACTCTAGTGAAATGACACATCAATACAATCTAAAGCCACAACTCGTGCAATCCGCGCACCAATAAAAAACAATCCGAACATACTCAAATCATGAAAATGACTCAAATGAGAGAGCTGTATTGCAAGCTCTCCAGTACCACCACACACAGTGCTGAGAACCCGTCACACATCGTAGAAACTTAACACACGAATCCAACCCGAAGGGTCATTCCTCCACTTAACGTCGCAGCAATGCGCAGTCCTACCCAAACACTGGTCTGCATTATATACCTCGAGCCACCCTGCTCCAAATCTATAACCATTCGGAATTCAACATCAAGGACCCAGAGTGCATTACCATAACCACGGAGAAGTGAATGACATATCACCGCACAACCCGAAAGAACATAATCAGTACGCAATCAATCATGCAACCCTCTAATATCCGTCTCACTCAAATTCTGCTATAAAGCCCAAATGGAACCGCACCGTATGTGCATACAACCAACAAACCAGAACTCACCGCAACACGGAAACATAACTCATAGATCACCCCAGAACACTAACAAGCTCAAAAACAATTGATTCAGCACATCACACAGGGCTAGCCATTGTTGACACCCAATTTTTCCCTATATATTATTAATATAAAAAATAGCTTCAACATGATATACATATATGCACATATGCATATATGCAAGTGCTTCATTACTTTTCCTTAATTTTAAAAGATTTTTAAATCTATTCATTCTCTTATTTTTATCCATAAAATTCAGTAATTGTTTCCAAAATTATCATTTTTTGGTGATTCCCGTATTGCACTTTTATATCTATACCAAATATAGCCAAGGGAATTTTTGCATATTTTTACAAATTTATTTAGTATTTTTAAAGGTAAATTGCATATAATTACAATATTAGCCTCTTTTAAGATTTAATTGCCTTTATGTTCACGAAATTAGGTCTGGTATTTTTAAATAATTAATTATGTGTTATAAATCATTTTAGTGCCTTTAATTTATTTGCAGAAATTATTTTATTTTTTTATATAAATCAAATAGGAAAAATTGGCTATTTAGATGTTAGCCCCATTTTATTTCAATTATAGCCTGATTTTGAACCCCAATTTGAAGCCCAATTACTCCGACCCAATTGCAAACTGAACCGACCCAAACCCTATTCTATTAAACCGCCCCACTTACCCGTCCAATCCAGGCCGTTGATCAAAATGATCAACGGCCATCAGACCCCCTTGCCTTAATTAATCCCAAACGACCCCCTAAACCCTATCATTCCTCACAACACGCCGCCTCTGAATCCCCCTCCTCTCTCAACTCCTCTCTACACCACCCTCAAACCCTAGTCGCCGCCACCCAAATCCACCCTAATCCTCTTCGATTCTCACCTAACCCATGGACTCCCATGGCTGTTGAAGGGTGTACCAGTCTCCTATGGCTCCTGGTTGTTTGTTTTCATGATTCCATGGAAAAATCTCAAAGAGGTCTGGTCCAGTCCTTGCTCGACTTCGATCTCTGGTTCTTTTCCGGCCATCTATGGTTGTTCAAGTCAGATCCTTGACTTTTCCAACTAGATCGGTACGTTTTAAAGCCTTTCTCACTTTCTCTGGGCTCTTCGAAACCCTAGCTTTAAGAGCTTTTCAATTTTTCCTTCAGATCTATCTTAGATCTGTGCTTGTTATGATCTTCTTAGTGTTTTCTCAAAGGTTCTCCGATTTTCTTTCAAAATAACTCTTCATTTTCAAATTAGGGTTTCCTAAACTTTTCTTCGATTTTCAGTGTATTTTTATGATTTTACTATGTTTGTCCATGTTTGTTGCTACCTGTTTCATAGTGCTAAAAGCCCTAAGTGTTTTGTCTCTACCTGGGTTTCTGAAATCCTCTTGGTTTATTTTATATGCATGTTTGGTTCGATTAAGTTCTTTGTGTTTGAACCTTTTGTCTTGTTTGACTTATCTGATTCTGAGTTCACTACAGGAAAATAGGTCTTTAGTGATGGGAAATTCGGTCGTGAAAACTCCAAATCCGGTCGTTATCAGTCAACTACGATGGGATAAAAACCGGACGTCGCCAGTCGTTAGTGCCTCCGTTGTTAAAGGTAAACGACCGGATTTTGATCCCGTCGTAAAAACTCTTTTAACGATGGCAAGAAATCCAGTCGTTATACCAAGATTAGCGAGGGGATTTTTCTATCATTATATGTCATCCCAGTCGTTAAAAACTTCAGTAACAATAACTAATTTTCAGTCATTGTTAGTGTTTGGCGACCGGAATTCCATTCGTTAATTGTATATACTTTCAATGACATACTTTTTAAAAATCAAATTTTTCCTTTGCTAATGTGAAAATTTAAGTAATAAATACATCACACACATTCGAAATCATACAAAGAATGAAGTCAATATTGACATAAAACATCTTTTTTAATTATAGAGAACTAATAAAAGTAGCAATAATATTACATCCAAATTGCATGATCCTTGTTTTCAATTCCTTAAAGAAAACAAAAAATTAAAGAGAAAGTAAAATAGTAGTTTGTACAGATGACGACTACAACTCCTAATAAAACGATATAGATTTCCCTTGTTCTTCAACAATTCTAGCTGCTTCAACTTGCTCGAAACTATCTTTATGGAAGATTCTTCAAACTTCAGGCCCTTTATCTGTTAAAAAAGGTTCATATTAGTTGAGTAAGAAAACAAGATTTAAGATTGGTAAGTTGCTACCACACAGTAAAATGTAAAACCACGAAGCGAATAGCATCTCAAAATACTATGAACAATCAGTGCTTCTCACAACTACATCACTAACTCCAACATTAAACGTATCATGAACAACAACAACAACAACAACAACCCAGTAAAATCCCACAAGTGAGGTCTGGGGAGGGTAGAGCGTACGCAGACCTTACCCCTACCCGGAAGGGTAGAGAGTGTAGGTTAATGGAGGCAATTTACCCTTCTTCCACACAATATGATAAAATACTCAAAGGACTGAAGTGTGTGTAAACTCTTTTTTGATACATGTGCAGAACAGCAATCCGGGTCCGGCGAGGAGGCAAGGAAGATGCCCTCTTACTCCTGAAGAAGTTGGCTTGATTCTAAGATCACATGGATATGGGAAAGAAGTTCATATTTACGTAGCATCTGGTGAAGTATATGGAGGTGAAGAGACGTTGGCTCCATTAAAGGCCATGTTTCCAAACTTCTACTCCAAGGACACTATTGCCAGCAAGGAAGAGTTGGAACCATTTTCTGCATTTTCTTCTAGAATGGCTGCTCTTGACTTCATAGTTTGTGATGAAAGTGATGTATTTGTCACCAATAACAATGGAAACATGGCAAAAATTTTGGCAGGACGAAGGTATTCTGCTTCCCTTTCGGGTATTTCAGTTTGTTTTGGAAATTTTATTTAGATTCTGGCTAATATATCTTCTTTTTGATACAGGAGATATTTTGGTCATAAGCCTACCATTAGACCAAATGCTAAGAAACTATATCGTGTGTTCTTAAATAGAAATAACATGGCACTTGAAGGATATTATAGAAGAAATCAAGAATTATACTAAGCCGGTTCACTGCACAATCCAACACTGCTTTAGAGAAGAAAATCAGGAGTGGATGCGTTGACTAAGTGGAGTATTAATAAGCTAGATCATGTATTTTTGCCCTGTAATGATCTCCCTCAAAATATCAAAGGCCCTTATCGGATAGACAACATGCAGGTAGTCACTTTTGGACATAAGCATAGAGTAAGAGTTGATAAATCTCAATGTCTATATCTCAGAATAAGAGTTGCTGGAGCTTAGAAAAGGAGGAAAAGCACAATGGTTAGTAGCTTCACAGCATGATGACATTGTATATATATGCTTCTATTGTGGCTAGCCAATGATTTGAAAGTTCTAACACGGCACATAAAAGCCAAAAGGAAGAAATAATAAGACTTAATTTAACTATAACAACAACTGCTACAACTACTTGTACAGCTCAATCCCAACCCAGTTGTGCGTGGTCATATGAATCCTCAATATTATTTTATGAAAACTACTAAGACAAATTCAACTATCACAACAACAACTGCTATCACCACCCATCAATCCCGGACTAGTTTGAATGGCTATATGAAACCTCAAATATCGCTTATGTTCTGTTCCTCTTGGGAGGTATTAGGTAGCTGTCACGAACACCACCGTCATAAAAAAATTAATTCTATTTATACTCAATAAAAGTACAATATTTCTATATCTGCTAGTGCTCTAAACAAACTAAAAACTCCTGGTAGACACCAGTCCTGGTGTAAAGTTTACCAACTTGACTAAGACCCTTTTAACTATAAATCAAAACAATTAAAAACAAAAAGTCTCAATTTGCAGCAAGCTAAAAAATGCAACCGGAGAGTGTAAAGAGCAGAAGAATCAATAAAGCTCACAGCATGATGACATTGTATACATATGCTTCTATTGCGAGTACCAGGTTATATCTTAATCATTGTTGCTTATTATGGATGAAGTCTATTCATACGTCAAACTTTCCTTTTTCTTTCAACTAAAGAAGATTTTATTGATGAGAGGGAATCCTCGTGAAGAAGGAATTAAAAATGTGCATAGAGATTGATGTCCTGAGTTCAACAGTATGCAGGGCAGAACTATTTTTTCCTACATATGCAAGAGCTATCTGTGCAAGCAACGGAAAACAGATCTGGACTTCAAACCTCAATAATGTTATACGTTCAAATAATGAATCTGAGATGCACATATCTAATTGGATTTCAATATTAGAGTAACTGTACGTATGTCAAGGCCAGTACTTTATTTAACTAACAACAAAAGAATTCACTAAATTTATTTAAGGATATTCATCAGGTCATAGTTGGTAGAAAGCTTACGAACCTGTTAAATATTAATTTCAGCTTGTACTTTGTTGACTTGAAGATGGTGCTGATGAAGGTTGATCACCCAGTAAGCTTATAATATGTGCATACTTAGAATCTATGTCGTCCATCGTATTTCTAGTGATTCTTTTGCTTTTTTTAGTTGCATTCAGCTTGGCATCTAGTGATTCTTTTTCTTTTCGAGTTGCATTCAGCTCAGCCAGTATTGCAGCCTTTGAGGAGCTGCCCCATTTCAACTCCTTAGTGGTTATACCACCCCCTAATCCAACCACGTGACTCTTGTTTTGAGGTCTGAAGCATCTTTCTACTACCTCGATATTCGTAAGAGATGGCTCAGATTGTACCAGTTCTTCTATCTCAGCCTATAAAATACAAGAAAAATTAAAATAACAAAATACATCAAAATGAAATGAAGGATGTAAAATGAAGTTCATCAATAAGCATACATATTTTTTACTAGCTTCGGGTTCTACAAGCGTGTCATTTTTCTTGCGAGTCTCAAAGAAGATAGTCGCCATGTTCGGTGGATTACCGCCTTTGCCTCCCTTCACAATTAAATAAACAAGTCAAACAAAGACAAGTTTTTTTATTTATAGGATTGCATTGTGCACTTACCAGTTCGTAAATAATTTCTCTAATCGGCTTGCTACCCGTGCGATGAGGCATTCTCAACTTAGACCTATTGATTGAGTTTCTAATACTTGTTTCCTATATTAAGAACAAACCATTGAAATCATGAACTGTTACTTATAATAATAAGAAGTTAAAAGTAGTTATGAATTCTTACCTTAAATTTTTCACTTAAAAAATATTTCCTTGACCAACCATTCTCAATCACTCTTGTCTACCAGTGCTTCATGCAACGGCTTAAACTTCACATACCTGTGCAATGATCATCTCCAATTGGTCCATAACTTTCTCATATGATTTAACACATGATCTCTTTGATGATTCATGTCATCACTAATTTTTTCTCTAGTCCATTATACTGCTGTTGATGTACATTCTTTGAAGATGCTCCCCTTTCAGACTTCCGAAATTTTGATGGATTCATGTCAACCTAAAATAAGATAAAAGTATGGAGTAACTGTTAGCTGAGAAAGATAAAAAATCATTAAGACCGGTAATAAAACTATTTATCCACAAGAAATTTTCCATGCCAATATAACTAATAAAAGAATTAACTGAAAGAATGTACATCACTATGATGGGGGCTGCAAATGATGGCAAGGACCTCCATGTTTCTGTTACAATGCATTCCATTGAGGTATGCGATTAATATTTTCTTAATACAAATTTCTGATGCTGTCGTCGTCTATCTTTCTAAATCATCAAAACTTTATAAATTGATTTAGTCATGATATAGTACTTTCTAAGGTAGTGCATCCTGGTACAGCTTTGGATTCTTCTAATCTCAATTTGTTAGTTGATTCACTTTAAAAGAAAATATAGTGAAAGGATTCTTCAAATCTCAATTTTAGTAGTTGAATATCACTTCAAAGGTAAAAAAAAGACAATGAAAGGTTGCAGAAACATCAGCTCTGAGATAGGGTAGAAACATCAGCTCAGAGAAAAGCAAACGCTCCGATCAGTTTCACACCCAGCTTGGCCTCTCTGCTGTTGAGACAGAGGACTCAAAATTTGTGCAGGAGTTGGGGAGGAGGATCAGAGATGCAGAGAAGGGTGCTCTTTTCCTTGGCTGAACACAAGGAAAATAACAAAGAGAAAGGATTTGTTAACAATAAGATGGATGGGCAAGCATTCAGGGGTGAAGGAAAAGCATAGACAAGAAAGAATTATAAAGGCCAACTTGTTGTATTGAAGCGAACTGAACAAAGATTCAATTCAAAAACAGGCAACTTGAAGATTTACATTGTGAATAATGCTATCAGTGGACAATTATTTTGTAGTCCAAATTCTAGTTTCCTCAGTAAAGTATGACAATGGAGGGGCGAGAAGATAAGACTCTGGGTTAGCAGCTGAAATTAGAATATATTAGATTGTGTTTTATTGGAAGCTTCCACAAAATCAGGAGTATAACCAAGAATACAAAGATGTTAAGGTTGTCCTCTCGCAAAAATGTCATATCGTAATAGTTCCTAAAAGGTTCCTATTAAAACATTTGCAGCACTTTTCGTAACACAATGAAAATATTAGATCATAATTTCTACGTATGATGTTCCGAGAAATCTGAAGAGTATGCAACTCAGGAAACATGGGATCCAAATTATGTCCATTAGTAAGGTAATAGCCAATCACTGTTCACACAAAAAATTCAGAAATGGTTCCGTCATTAACAATCATGTACTTTAACTAGTATAATTTTGCAATGTGAGTCACTTAAATGTTACAATGTCTAATATTTTGGTGTATAGATATTGAGGCTTATTAATATCAACGTATCATGTTCTTTTCACCGTCTGCTATATTTAACATTAGTTTCTTTCAGAAAATTGTTTACGCTCTGAAATTTTAAATGTCCCCTGGAAAAAAAAGGATTCAATTTAGCTTAATCCCAAATTTATTACAGAAACAATACATTGGAAAATGAAGTGAACTCAAAGAGAAACCATATGCAAGACAGTTTGGTCTTGGCAACAATGTCAGTGGCTGGACAACTCTCAATCCTCGTTTGAAAAGCAAACATAATTCAATAAAGTCAAAGTGATAATCATACACAAAAGTAAAGCTAACATTGAACTTTCGTTGTATATGTATTGGCAACCATAGTCTAAACATACAGAAAACATTGAGTGGAAACCAGGAAAATAAATCCTATAGGATGGTTTTTAATGTACTCAAAGTAAAATAAAACTTTTATGGGTCATTGATTACATGTTTCATACAATTATTATGCCTCAAAACCTGGATTAGTTGGACAATGATATTTGGATTCAGAAAATAGCACATTCAGCAAATGGACCAATAAGTAGTGGCTAGTTAGGTGATCCAGTCCTACATTCTACAGATAGCTAGCAATACACCAAGGAAAAGAAGAATCACAATCAGGAGAAGAATAACGGGGTAGAAATTTACTACTAACCATTCTCTACCAAATGAACACTTAGTGATAGTTGGATTCTCATGATGTTATGTTCTTTTTCCCTTTTCCTTTTAGTATCCATGTATGAGGTGCAATTGAAAGTTTACATATGCATGACGAAATTCCATGAGTGTGTCCAGGTACTAAAAGATTAGTTTGATCAAGCTCCTATTGGGCAAAGAACACCCTCTGAAACAAATATTCGATTCCAACATTGGGCAAAGAACACCCTCTGAAACAAATATGATTTTACTCTTCTTTTCATACAGGCAATGCAGAGCCACATGTAATCAAATGATTCAATTGAATTCGCTAAGCCGAAAAATTATAATGTGCGAATAAGAGATAAATTTTTTGTACATATATAAAAGTTTGAATTATGTGTAAATTCTGAATCCCCTTATAAGAATTTCTAGTTGTAACGCGTATAGGACCTCTCTCGCAAACTATAACAGACTAAGAATCCGAAAGTTTTACCTATTGTGCATTATAATAAGAAGCATAAAATGAAAGAGAAAGCGGAATATGAGGAAAACAACAAGTTTGATGGAAATCAGTTGGTTCTGTGCATTGAAAAATTGCAAGAAATATACTGGAAACAGAACAATTATCATATAAATCTGAAAGGCGTCGATATGAAAAGTAGAGAGATAATAAAAAGCCCAATTTTACAATAATTACAACTACAAATTTAGCGACATGAGTTTACCTTGACGAGAAAGCACAGCAAGAAGACCAAATCGTATAAGCTGCGTTGACAGAACCCCAAATTATATAAGCTGCATTGACAGAACCCATAAATCAAGTATAAGCACAACAACTAACAGAACGCACCTATTTGCGTTGACACCACCTATTAGCATTGACACAGATTCACCACAAAGCACACAAATTATATGCTGTGTACAGCAAGAAGACCAAATCGTTTTCTGATTTTTTGTTGAGTTTTGCTCTGTATATATATGGTGTTAAATCGATCGCTAGAACTCGCCGATAGAGTAGCGGGCAGTTGCAGTGAGGGCCTATTTATTCATGATTCTTTGCATCCTCTTTGTTGAATCTGGTGTACGTGTTTTAGGATAACATTGGAGTGAGAGATTTTAGGGTTTTTTTTAATTAATTTGGGGGATATGGGCGGAAGATGTTGAGGAAAAAAAGGAGGGAATAAGTAGCGCATAATATTTCATTTTATTCAGATTTATTAACGAGGGGATTGACACAATTTGAAAGACCAAAAATTATCCCCTCATAAAAAATACAGTAAAAAATAATTTTAACGATCGGAATAAATATTGGCCGCTATAAGCATACATATAACGACTGGATTAATTTCCTTTCGTAAAGAAGTGGTCGTTAAATACCTCTTTTCCTGTAGTGGTTCTTACAGTTTCAACTCAGCTCTGCTGTAAAAAGCCCTAATCTCTTAAAAGGTTTTTTTCCTTACTTGTTGCTATAAGTTTGAAGACTTTACTTGTTTCTGTGTGTTGATCTCCTTTACCTGTTACTATGATCTCTGCATTTTTGTGACTACCTGACCTACTCGATTGCTGAGTTTCGAATGGTTCTCTTCCACTACTAAGTCCTAGCTTATTCCTGCTACTACTGTATGTTTAGGTAGTTTTCTTTTGCCAAGGGGGTTTGGCCTTGCATGTCTGATACTGTTGTTCGTTCTATTTATATGTTGAGATGCGGGATCGCGATCCTTTCTTGATTGATTCTGACCCCGTCAATGTTGCTATTGATTGCCAAAGGGTTTTCTGATGAACCCTAATCTTATTAGTCTGTTCAAATTGATGGGTTCCCTTCCTTAATTACTGTGATGTTTTACCTTGAATCCTTTTCCAAAATTAAGTATGTTTTATAACTGCTCTTTTATACTTTGTTTACTTTCAAGCATTTATGTATTAAAATCCCCTCTTATTTGAGCCTTATCTGCTTACATGTTAATTGCACCAATTTCACAAAGAATTGTCTGGCCGGGAACCACACTAGTGGATCCTGAGGGGTGCCTAACACCTTCCCCTTAGGATAATTTCAAGCCCTTACCCTATCGCTGGTTATCAAAAAATGTAGTTATTGTGAACTTTGTAGGTGTCCTAATGCACCCTAAATCATTAGGTGGCGACTCTTCAAAAAAAATGCAAAACCCAGTTCCCAAAAGGAACGAGTTGCCCCATACCCCAAAATGTCATAAATCCGATTCTCCCGCCGCAAGGAGGGAAAAAGGGGGGCGCGACAGCATGGCGACTCTACTGGGGATAATTAGGCTTTTACCATTTCAGATTGTACTTGTGAATTTGTGCTTTCCCTTTATATGCAATTACTTGTTTAAATTCCTTTAAGCGTTTAATTTCTTTACAAGGCAAAACTGACTCGTCTTCTTCTTTTCTTTTGTTTATTGCTTCTTTACTGTTATAAACTGCTGTATTTATTGCTTTCTTAAACATACAAATACGTGACAACATGCTTTTTAATTATTGTATAATCATGCTCAACATCATAGTCCACTCGTGCCAAACAAATACCATAGCAATGCTTATAATGAGTGGTTGTGCTCTTCCTATATTATTAACCCCTAAATTCGAAAAGGCATATTTGTGGTAAAACCAGTCGATCAACGGTGTAGTCGACGGTTCCGTGCCTTTCCCCCTTGAGTTGTCCGCTCAAGGGTACCAGTCTAAAACCCCATAGAAACCTTACTCCGTTTAAATTGTGCATGCATCATAGTCAAACCTAGCCAGATCAGTTATGTTGTCCACATAATGATCCTTTAAGATAGCCCTGACCAAATTCCACTGGGTTTCCCTAAACCCATATGGACACCATCACGTTCTATGCATTTAATTGGATAACTAAATGCCTAATGCTA